ATTTAAATGTAAAATAATAGAAACAATTAAGACTTAACCAAATCAAATAAATATGCTTATATAAAACCGAAAATAAACTAATTTGTATTTAAAAAATAAAAGAAGTTAAAATGTATATAGAAAAATTGGTTTCAAACAAAACTAGCAAACATATTTGAAATGACAAACTAATAATTATTACTTAGCACCATAACATCTATAGTTGAAACATTCGTGCAAATATCTGGATTAAAGTGAAATCTCATATTAACCGATTTGATTTTTTCAGTCAGTATAATATAAAGTAAAAAATAAGATTCGTATAAATCCGAGGCCCTCTAATAACGGAGGCCATAGGCAGTTGCCTATCCTGCCTAATGGTAAATATGTCCCTGTACACACTATATCAATCATTATAACTTCACAAAAATAACTTMTATGTGAAATTACATAATGGTAATCACATACACCATTACGGCAGGAAGTTACAGAGCAATATCTCAATTTAATTTTTTTCTCTTACTTCCATTTTAAGGTACATAGATATTACAATGTACCGTCACTTTTGAGAGAAAAAACAGACGTCTCATAGATGGTAATATCATCTTTATGCACACATGGTGGCTAAGGGTTTTTAAATTGTGTTTGCAAGACCATTGACGAACTGTCAAAATGAAAAGTGAATTTGCATTAAAAATAATATTTTGTACATTTCAAAATGTCATATTTCTTCAGCATGTTCTAATAAGTAGTATCAATAACCATAAAAATCTTAATATAATATTATAACATACAATAATAAATTGTTTTTTATTTTGTCTAAAAAAAATTGACATTTTACATAATGACAAGGTATTATATAAAATACCTAGGTTATAGATATGTAAAATAATATTGAAAATCATAATATATATAATATGTTTTATTTACATTGACTCAGATGGATCAGCAATATGCATAATATCTAGGTCCTAGGTATTTAGCAAGCTACCTAAATTATACACATTCCTGGTGACATATATATATGTGTATATCATAATAGGAATGTATCTTTATAATAATTGTACAAAAAAATCAATGTACGATTTTTAGCGTTAAAAAAAAGTGAATGTCTTAAACAAAGTGACAGAAAATGTATTACACTTTTTTTGTTTRGTTACTTAAATGTCTCAATAATCTTGTCAAATACCAAAATCAATTATTGCGARTGATTATAATGATTACGACTTACAAAAAAAGGAAAAATCTTTGATTCGATTAATTATTAATTTTGAAAAGTGTCATATTATATTTTTACTCAAACGCAATAAAAATTAAAATTGAAAAGTACATAATTAGCGTACTAATAATAAGCTATAAATTAGTTATAAAACGGTCCAGATGTGCCTCTTAACTAAGAAACATTAAGCCTACTATTAAAAAATAGCATCTTCCCATAAACCTTAAACGAAAATGTGATGTTATCATAACTAGATCYACAATATGTCACACGCTTCTTATCCACCCATTCTTTATACCTTAAGAACCTGCCATAGTATGCGATGCATGTAAGAAAAACCTTTCGATCGATCGCATTGTTACCAGATGTCCAAAATACGACTAAGCTTGGAAAATCTTCATCGTCCTAACATATTTCCGACTAGCTGTCAACCAAGAAAACACCGATGCAATTTATAAACTTTTCCACTCTATACATTCAAGAAAAAAGAAAATGCTAACAACTTACTGTAAATATTTCAATTCTATTTTTTTAACCTTTTTTATCTCCACTGTATAACTCTTTAACACATGCTGTTGAAGCCTACTAATAATAAAAATAAAAACGAAATAAAAACAAAAATAGTTTCAATTATTAATGTTGTAGTAAGTAATCTGGCTAATTGAAAAGCTAAATTAATAATTCATGAACACATCTTAAACCTGAATAATATAAGGAACAAACAATGATCACATTTTTAACACTTTTCTTAAGTTCGCTTTCACGTCCGTCTGTGATCAAATCTTGCGCGCTCGATTTGAGGCACTTTTTGAAAATGAAAAATTCTGAAAATTGGTATGGACCTTGATCTTGGATGACAATACAATAAAAAAATAGTAGTTTCAATTATAAATCTTAATAAATTAAATTAATAATTCAAATGTTTACTACATAATTTACAAACATATTTTTAGATACATATAATAGTATTTTGTATTATTTTAAGAAAAAAGAGTGATCATAATATTATTGGTCTTTATCAAATCGTATTTTACTCATTGTAAACAAATTTACCAAATATATATTTACACTTTTTTTTCGTTTCTTCAATGACTAAAAATTTTTGTTGATTGTCAAAAACAACTCTTGAATGATTACAGCATCCATTATAACGTAAAAAAAAGGTTCTGTTGAATTAATATCTTACGTATTTTGAATAATATAAGAAGGTTTGTGAGTGTGTGTGTGTGTGTGACACCATAGTGCTGCAACGTGCGTGGTATTTTTTATAAAATTATCGTGAAAAAAAGATAAATTTGAAATAATTAAATGGCATATATTATGTYAATTTAAACCCAACGACTTGTTTCCTTCTTTTTTTATTTCGTGTAAATAAAATGTAAAATATTTATCGGCAATATTCCAGTATTCATGCATGCAGAAATTATGAATTTTTGAGTTGGAAAACAGTATTTTTGCTAAACCTTTGTTTTTAATATTTACGAAAATATTCTGAACATGAAAGGTTTTCTAATTACGGTTTTGGTGGCCTTTACTTATAAGTTATGAAATTACAAAATGCAAACCCGTTCAATTTTTAGTAAATCAATTTAGAATTTTAATTAAAATAACTGGATTAAATTTACTTTTTCAACGTTCGATTTATATTTGTAGGTAACTAAAAACGTTGTTCTTATTCTTATTATTCTTTAAAATGTTTTATTTCCATAACATGTTTAACTATGTTGTACTCTTTAGTTAATAATTTAATAATTATATTTTTATTTGTTTTGTGTGATGATTCGATCAGTTCAAATCAAAAAACCTT